TAAGCGAATGAAACTAGTAGTTAAATCGTACGATGTATTTCCTGGCGAGGATATTTGTTTACGAGAGCCACATAATGATGGTGTCACACAAAAGATTCATTACTGATTGAATAAAAAACGAAAAGAGTCTGATTCTATTCCTTTTACTTGGATAGGCAAAGTATTTAATAAAAAAAAATACTGAAATAGTGGAAGTTATATTAGCTATTTAGCAACATTTGATATAATTTTGCTATGATTTTTTTCGAAGATGAAAATTGCGAAATCTTTTTCTAAGGTTGATGAAGCAGGTGATGGGAGTATCGACATTGTAGACATTGAGTTAAAACGATCGTTGATATTAACAGCTGCAGATTTACGTTTTGTCGATTTTATATTGAAAGAGATGGAAGCAAATGCTAAGTCGCCAAGTATGCTTTTTGTTATTTTCATATTTGAAATCATTATTATATCCTCAAATTGATGATTTTGATGGATGGATAATGTCACAAAATATGTAATGGTGACCTAGGAATTTTCACATGTTTGTTATTTCAGTTTAAAATGTTAAGGGTGACTATGTGGAATTTTGGTTAAATTTTTAGGTGTTTATGTCTATTACTGACGAGGCAATAGTTGGGACACTTGTTGACGAAGCCATTGTTAGTAAATAAAAGGCAAGATAAAGTATAAAGAGATTAATAAGCTATGATTAATAAGGATTAGTCAATTTGTTTGTTGATGTATGCTCAAATATTTTAGAAACTTCTCAAAGTCATTTCAGAGTTGTAATTTGATAACTGATTTTAGGTTGGGAAGGTAGTGATGACTGGATACGATTGCAGATGCAGGCGTATTTGTTATCACTCGTAGCTACTGTTCGTGCCGATTTGAAAGATTCACTGGATGATTTCAATGAAGCGTTCATAGCTCAATGGAAAATGAGCAATAATTATCGCATTTGGTCCTGTGGTGATTATCCTGATTTGGCAGCTAGCATTCCGGGGTTCGTATTCTTAATCTTTATCTTAGGGAAACCTGTTGATCTGTAAAATGGTATGGTTTCAAGTAAATAGCCAGTCTTTGTCATTCGTACTGTTTATATTGCTTTACCTTGTATTGGTGTCTTTACTCTCAGTTTCGTTTAATTATTAAATTGCTCATAAGACTTGACGCTTCCGTTAGATATTTTTCATGAAATAGGTAGTGCAATTTTTTTATTTGCTAGTCATCCTTCGTAAATTATTGTAAGATTTAGTTAATTCCCCTGGAAGACACGAAAGGGGACCACTGAATTAGCATTTGCATAAATCATTTTTGAGAGCTAGTTTTTTTGGCAAATGTTTTAGGTTTCAAAGTTATAGAAATTAGTCATACTTTATCACCATCATATTCATTTACCCATTTTTCGTTGTTCCAATAATTTGTCATCATAATAGTCTAAAATAATGGATATTGAGTTGTATATTCTTAAAACTCTTCTCATTATGAGGTATATGTTTGAAAGTTATCCGTGCTTGCAGACATCCGTTTGCTGGTGGTCTCGGTATATCGGACGTATTGCTACGTATGGAACATTCAGTTGGTGGTACAGGAAGTGGTCGTCGTGTAGCGTCGGCTGTTGTTAATACCAGTAAATATTTTGCAGATACAGGCAACAAAATGAAGACAAGTATTGCGTCATGGTTAAAGGGAACAAGACAAACAGAATAAAATTTTATTACAGTTGTTTTAATTTCATATGATTTTGATTGGCGTATCTCAGTATGCGAACTTATTTTTTTTTGTTTAGTACATAACCAGAAGACGATAGAAACATAATATACGATTGATATATTAGCTGTCAAGAATAAGTACAGGAGGAAACTCTGATTAGACGTGAAAATGGAAGTGAAAAGGAAAGAACACTTTTTATTGTGAAATATATTTCGGATCAGATCTTTTATGATTTATATATTTCGTGTAATCCATGAACCAAAAATAGATGTACTGTTCCTCGACCTGTTTTGTTGCACTGAATAGATTTTTCTGTGTCTTTTTTTGTAAACTGAGAATAAAGTCAGAAATTTTTGTGGTAGAACCGTTAATTTATCTTAAAAGCTTACGCATAACCGTGTTGAACATGAAGTCTGCAAACATTGTTCTCGAGTAACTAACAGTCCCGATGTTTCTAATAAGATTATGTCTCTGTATTTGATAGGTCTCACGCTACAAACTCGACTTTAACACTAAATTTCAAAGTCATTTTGATCACTGGTTGAAATTTCCATAAATGAAAATTACTACAGTAAAAAAATTTTACTTTCCACGCCAATTATCGTCTTCAATATGGTTCGAATTAACTTCAAACAGATCATCAAGTTTTGTAAGTTTGTGTTTCATGTTTATGCACGTTACTTTAGAAGACTTCTTAGCTTCTAATCAGTTCACTTTGCAAGACTAATCAATAGCAGTACTCATTTCTGGATTTCTGAGGAGACAAAATGCCTGAGGAAAATGCATTGATAAGTTAGATTTTCCGGCACTGCGCAAGTATAAAAATCTTCATATAGAAGGGAATAAATCGGGTATTAACCGTCAAAGTATGATCGGAGCGGATAAACGACCTTCTAGGAATATTATTTGAGTTTTCATGTCAAAGATAAATCTAGAAAACAATGAAACTAATAGGACATGAAACGTTGGGGATGCTATACTCGGGACTTGTGAATCATTTGATTTATGCGCTAAAATGACTCTGAGTGATACTTCGGACTAACCAATGATTTTTGATAATTTTTCAACTGTAATCTGTGTTAGTTTAGGAAATGATTCACAGGAAATGATTCACAAGATGTTTCATATTCTTTGATTTCAATTGTTTTCTAGATTTATCTTTGGGAACGAACATTGTCGGTTTCGTTTCGATACTCCGTTCTGATTAAATAAAATCAGTGAGAGGCGAAGGATAAATGCTACCATTTCCAGAATTCCTTCGAATTGTTGACAAGAGCGTCAAATCGAGGAAGTTTTGCCCTCTTCAAGTATAGGAACGAAAAAGACAGACAAGAAAAATTCTCATTCCATGAATCCAGTCTTAAGGGTTAGGAGTAAGACTTTGTTAATTAGAGAAAATATTTATGTTCAAATCACACTTAACATAATGAAGCACCATATATGGTATCACAAAGACGATTTAGTGCAACTTTTAAAGAGGACACTACAATAATCCATTCCAACGAAAAATTCACTGTTTCGCGCTGCAAGAATCTAAGCTGTGATAAAACATCACTAAAATCACCGTTTTTTACCAATAAACAGAAATACGTTGTCATTTCCGATACCAATTCGGCTGTTGGATCTAAAATAATAAAATGTTTGATCGTTTTCTGAGACCAATAGGCAATTTTTGGAATGGTTTAATCACAAAATGTGGAGTGAAATGATGATGATTATATGTTGGTATTTGACAAAATTAACAGCGAAATCAGCTCACTTTACTTTATAGACATTCACTTGAAATGTTCTAGTGAAAAATTTTCTTATTCAATAATCAAAATTCACATTTATACTGCTGCAGTATTCGTAAAAATTCAGCTTTCACATCTTCATCTTCGAAATAATTCCGATAATCTGGATGAATGGTTTCTTTGCGATACTAAAAAACGATCAACATGGATTCAGAATAATACATCTCATTATTTACTGATTCTTATATTTGTTCGGAAAGCATCAACACACAGAAAAGGAAAAAACAGTGAGCTCTTAAAAAAATATTTGAACATTTCAACTGGTTTATTCCCACTGACGTCCAATTAAATTACTATAGTCAATAATTTTATCAGTCAATAAACCATCCTTCTTAATTCATTAAACAACTACAGAGTCAATAAAATATGACAGCTTGTTTTTGTGGAAGAGTTCAACAAGCTAAGTTGCAAGAAAAAAATTATATTAAGGAAAAGCTAACTGAAATCAGAAATAGTATAAAATCAGAGACACACCATCAAACGATCAATTTAATGAGAAAAAATTGGTATTAAGAGGGTCATTTTGCAATTGATAATGTATTTACCTGACGATTTTGTTTGCTTTCTTTAAGTGATTTCTTTAGTGCCAATTCTAAAGCAATATCTTCTTCATTCTTCGTTTTTTTTCTAGTAATATGTTGTTCTCGATTTTTCACAGCAAAAAATTGTGTCAAAGTATTTCTCTTGATGGGTTGCTCATCCACTGACACATTTGGTATTTCATTTAAATGAGTTAGTTGAATACCAATCTGTGAATGTACCGAAAATTTCTACTTTAATTTATATGTGCTTCAAATTCTTAGCATAAGTCTACATAGCATTAAATTCGTCACTATTAGCACGAAAAGAAACTCAGTATTCTTTGTCAGTAAAAAAAAAATTTTTTCTTACATCAAAGAAGACGTCTAAAAATATTCACATATGCATGACTAAAAGATGATAAAAAAACTTAAAAAAATGAAAAAAGAATAAAGCTCACTCCTCTCAAATCGCATATAACTGGATTTATTGCTTTCATTAGCTTTTTCACTTCTGCATGCAAAACTTCTTTGTTTGCAGTTGCACCTTCCACACGAGCCGTTCTTGTAACAGCGTCACATTTCCCGCAACCCAAATATTTTTCTGTTATAACAGGTGCATCTGATGCACGAATCTATAATAAATAAAATTTGCATATACTTTAGAACAAAACTTTTTTCATTCATTTAAAGTCTTAAATAATCATTTACCAGTAATCTGAGAGTAATGGTAGATGCAGTCATCCCGGCAATATGAAGTTTTTTTTCCAATTCCAAACACATTTTTCCAAGAAATTCCATCACTTCATCTTCCTAAAATGTTTTAACAAATTTCTCTCAAATTATGACTTAACCAGTCTTCTATGTTCAGTAAAGCTTAAAATGACAGAAGATAATGAAAAAATCTATACTTCTGTAAATCGAATTCCGTAATTTATATCGCATGAAACAGATTTACGGACAACCTTTTCCAAAAAATCCCTCTCTTTATCGATTCCTCTACACATATTGTATATCTAAAAGCATAATCAAACAAAAAAAACTTAGCAAAAACAAACAAATAAAAATGATTTCAACTGTTTAAGAAAAGTATGAATTTGTTGCTTAAACTTCTATTTTCATCAAAGTTCTAACTTTCAGTCTATTGTAATATCTTTTTCTATGGTTGAGCAATATCCATGATTATGTTATGCCACTTTTTGGTTGAAGACAAATACAATGGAAATTACTCTGACAGGAAGGTGAGTATCATAAGACTCTAGATTCCAAAGCTAACCTGAGTTCCAATTTTTTCACCAAGAAGATTTCGCAAATGATTAATAGGTACTTTTTGCAAATCCTCACATAAACTCATTTCACCGAACGCACTATAAAATCTCCCAATTTTAATTAAATTCATTAAATCATTAATTTGGTCGAAAATATTATTTAAGTTTAGTTACAGAAAAAAGTAATTATATTTTAGAACATAAATTGTATACTTTTTGAGTTTCGCGTAAATATTATAACCAATTCCAGGTAAAGATGAAACTTTTTCTTTCTTGATCAAGTCGTCGATATCACCCGATCTGATTATAAACTGGCCATTCGGTTTCGCATGCCGAGTTGCTATACGAGCTATTAACATTGTATTTCCTAAATATATCCTTAATGTACTTTACAGTAACACTTCTTTCGAGTATTCGGAATAAAATAATTCGTAAGACAACAATAAATTAACTACGACATTTATGCACAATAATATACGAATCATTGTGAACTTTTGCGAAAACAAAAACAATTTTAACTTACCAATACCTACAGAAGCATTACAGCCTGTTTTAGCCAAAATTTCATTCCGTATTACAGATACAATCTCCATTACATTTGTTATATGCATATCATTGCATAAACTTTCCAAATCAACATACATCTCATCACAACTTACAGCACGAATATTAAGTGTATACCTAAATTAATTCGTCAATGTGTTAAAAAAATTAGTTTGTAAAAAAATGAACAACAGATACGATTAACTTCAATTCCCATTTCTTACTTGATAAGAATCACCCGCACTATCAGCGTTTAATGGAAAATGATAAAGTCTCGGACAATAAGCGTTATTTCATGTTTCAGTACTCAGTTATTTCAAGTATTGAATTTTTTTCCTAATTTTCTATTCACAGCAACGGGCAGTACACTGAGATCAGCCATCCATGAACTTGTGATCTGGCTCATGTCAGCTTGCATATAAACAAAAGCACACGTACAATTCTGCTTCAAGTCAATACTCATTATCAATTTTTATACACAGTACATCGCACTAATTCTATTCTAGTTTCAGATTTATCTTAATGACATTTAAATTTTAATGTCACTTGTTGCTGCATTCCGTACTAATTATGCTAAAACAAATAGTAATAAATCAGTAGATGTAATAACTAACCCTGATAAAATTGAATAGATTTCTCTTGAAATGTTTCGATAATCATCGAACTGATAAGGGAGACAAATGAGATCCGGACATGCCTGCCGCGCATCTTTAATTAAAGAGCCATTACGGACACCTAGTGCACGGGCTTCATAACTGCATGAGGCAATTTCAGACATACCAGCACCTTCTGTACTCTTAAAAAAGATAAAATAAATTGAGCATGATAATTTGAGAAAATGAAACTAATTTTCTGATAAAACAAAACAAAAATACTCCTCCATCTGATAATGCGTACCACTACACCGTCAGGTAGTAACCGAAACAACTTCACAAACTATGACAGAAAAATATTTTTTCATATCCTAGTAAGATAAGACTAAGTAGTTTGAATTATTGGCAACCTAGCACTTGTATTTTGCCAGTTGCATCACCAAGCAAAACTGTGCTGTGAGGAATAACCAGAACAGTCCCAAACTGCTAACTAAATTTTTTCAAATATGTATAAAGATTACTCTTGAATGAGTAATGGCCACCGGTTTTCCAATGAGTTCCGGATGAGTTTTTAATGCCACTGACACAAAGAAACAATCCAAATCGATATGGCAAATGGTTTCCTCTGGAAAACTAAAAAATTGAAATAATTCATCACAGAGCTCATATGTAATGTAAATAATGCCATAAAGAGATTCGCCGTACTTACATTCGTGCATATAGAAGTTACTCAAATAATACAACTTAATGCTATTTTTTGTGAACAATGCGTTTTACTAAAATGTTAACATATATACTGAAATGTGCTAAATGAAATGAAAAATCAAATATTCCAAAAATAAGTTACTCACTTAGCAAAATTTTTATCAATCAAATGTTGTATGTATACTCGCGAAGGAAAATTATTGTTTTGATTTTTTCTTAACTCGTTTACATAATGCTTCATTTCTTGCGCCAAAGTTGAAATCAAATGTAGACGAGACCTAAAATTCACTATATCTCTAATCATCGGGAAACCAATTATAAATAGATTGAGAAAAAAGTCATATATTAACTTCTATAAAAGTGAGCTCAAGTCTCAGATTATCTGAAATATTATCTGAAAATTCTGTTTTCAAACGTTACGTTAAAAAGAATACATAGCAAGATGTAGCTATAACTTTTCGATAGTCAAAAAAAAATCGCTCATTCTTCGAAACATATTCGCATTTACCTGTCAAAATATCAGGATATATCAAATAGGATTACTTCACTTATTTTTTACTTCAAATCTCCTGAATCAAACATCATTTCTAAAAAGTAAATCATATTGAATAAAGAAACTTTACCTTTCGTAAAAGTTACTCACAAAATTTGGATCATTCGCAGCACTTCGTGCTCCTTTTAAAGCACTATAACTCCCAACCGCAAATCGTTTTGCCACAGCTGTTTGCAGCGCACCATCTTTATACAACAAATAATCATCTTCGCATAACCTAACTCCTAGTCTGACACTGCAAATGAGAAATTTTTCCTGCTGAATCATACAACTTGAAGGTTAACTCCATCAAGTTAATCCTGTGTTCACATGCGATCGCTTCGTCTCGAGGATTCATTACAATTTATTGCCAAAATAAGTTTTAGTAATATAATGAGTAATTTAATAAAAAACAGAGCTACGTCCCCAATAAGTTATCAGATAACCTATCAGTAAGCCATCTCGGATGAATGATTTTCTCCTCCTTTCGGAGCTTCTTCGCTTTACTAGCAGCTAAATGCGTAGCGATTGTATGAGTTGTAGTGCCATATTTGTAATAAATATGGAATTCGCCACCATGCATATGTATTAATTTCCGCAATTCTGCTGCTGGCGGATCTAAATTTATACAATACATTTCATAAATTTAAATCCATCCATAAGTACTATGATATCTTAAGTTCTTAAATATAGTAAGGAACTGGAAAAATTATCCTATCTTTTTAATGTAATATGTAGTTCCATACGATTTCACTTTACGTTGACTAATGTCGGCTTGTGAAAATCACCAACAGACTGCCCACAATTTCCTTGCATTAACACACTTATTGAGAACAACTTTTTCCTGCTTTTTCGAGAACTTTTTCAAGAACAATTGTGTATTTTTAGTTCGTGCGCAAGAAATCATTCTAGAGATTTTCATTTTCTTACTGTTCATCACCACAACAATATAGTTTTTATTGGAAATCTCTTCTAAACTCCTTTGCTTTCTATTTATATACGAAAAATAAAATAAATCACCTGTATAACCATTAACGAAAATTGAAACACCTTCAAAAATTGAGGAAATGCTCTTATGTTTGTTCAATACATTTACTTGATATTGAAGTTTGGCTTTTTTCGTCTCCATGTAATTTTGCTAAAATTGAAACTTTAGAAAATATTGTAACAAAATAATGATAGAGGAACTAAACAATAACAAACTAATAAAACTGCACCGATAAAGCTCTTAAAAGTAGTCATATATAAAAGCATCTAAACAACTTCTGAGTATAATTTACAAACATTGAAATTTCATTAATAAAGCCGTTGCATGCCGGAAAAACAAATATTTCACACTACAAATTATAAAGATACTGACCATTTATTTTGATATGTTTAAACTCTTGGTAAAAATGCAAGATTTAAACTACGTTAATGATTATTTATTTTACCATGAAATTTTAAATACAAAGAATTTCAAAGTGACAACTGAATTCCTTAGTATTCTTTTGAGAATACAATTCACGAAAATTTCTCTTGCATCTTAAAAACTTTTCACCCTTCAATTCAACTAATTATAGTAAATTAATTCGAATTTTTCAATGTTTTGCATTGAAAAAAGATACACCAATTCCTAAAATTTCAACTTACCCATTGTTCAGCACGGCTTTCATTTTCCTCACTATCATTTCTCTCATCATTATTATACATCGGAGTTTACTTTTCCAAACAAAAAATAAAGTGAAATGACGCTAAAATATAACACTGGACAACTATTGCACATATTTCAATTAAACGAAAAAAGGAGACACGTCGTTACAGTACGGAGCATGACTTTTTTTGAACACATCAAATGATCACGTTTTTCGCGTTTTTATAGGCTTTCTTGCATTAAATTCCTCCTTGTATGCTAAATCGAACAGTTGTGCTATGCCGAGAAAGATCATCACATTACATTTAACGACACATTTCTAATGTATCATCAAGTAACTTTCCGTCTCTTTTATTATTACAAATTAAATCTTCCCATCGTTATCCATTTTGTAATTAGCAGTGAGCAACATTTGAAACATTAAATTTTTGAAATTCAATACCAAAAAATAGCATGAGAAATTTTCATCAAACACTGAGAAAACTTGAGAAAAGAAGAAAAAAAAAAGAATTCAACGAAGTGCCAACCACAACCGAATGACGTCATCCGTGCAGACGACGCATATTCAACATCCGATAGGATATGACGGATGGCTTACGCTGAAGTGTGTTGTTGTAAACGTGTTGTTTGTATTTATGTATTCCAATAAAAAATATTAAATCGTCCATTTTGGAATTTATTTTTAAAAATCTTTCAATTCTGTATTAATTGAAGATAACGGAACAAACAATGTTTGTTTGTTTGTTGTGCATATCGTGTGTTGGCGCAAAGATTCATTTTACTCAAGTTATTATTTTTAAAAATGTAATTCTACCATTCTGATCCCAAATTCAATCCTTATCGAATTTTTTTTTTTTGAAACAAAAATTGTGTAGCGCTTGGTCATGTTACTGGGAAAATATAAAGCTTTTTTTAGATTTACAAGGGCAGCGTTTTGATTAAAACTTTTTTTTTTGAAGATACGGTTCAAGTTAAGAATTGATTATGCATGGCCTATTTTAGATAAATCGATTCAATGAGCATTCACTTTAAAAATTTCTAAGCAAAAGACATTATTAGCTTTGATCTCTCTACGAAATTCATAGACGGTTAATTAGTTTGTTGCTGATAAATGACGTGACACGAAATAATAATTTTGCAATTATGATTTAACTTTATGTTGCTTCTGTTAAGACAACTCAGATTCCAATACCATTTTGCTGTTTATTATAATAATTTATCATTTCTCACAATACATCAGTCCTTACCAGACTTTTTACTCTTCTTTAGATCCTTATTATTTTCTGCAGCAATTAGAAGTATCATTCATTCGTCCATGATATCTGAATATCAGGACATTTTTGAACTTCTCAATTGATTGGATTATTTCGAAGTATTGTTTCTTCTTTTTTAACCACCGAATCATCATTTTTTCTTGCAAATGGCTTTTTTCAAAATAAACCTTAGGGGACAAAATTAGCAAAAGTCTGTTTTTATCCATTCATAGTTTTTCGTGTGGTTGGATTATATCACAACAATTAACTTTCATTGAGTGAGTATTGCAATTTCACAGATATTACAATCCCACGTAAACGTTTCCAACTTTAGAACACAATAGGAATTTGTGCTGCAAAAGCGTGTCTTGGTCACGTAAGTCTAAGTTCCAGTACGGTAGCGGATGATCCTGTGACTGTTCAGGGCGCGCGACAGCGGAATGGGGCGGGGGTTATGGTTCAGGAGTTCTCGATTCTCTGGCATTGTGCGGGAGAGGGGATTATGCGGGGCGCGGCATCTTTTGGGATGTTGTGAGAATTATAACGGATTTGTTATAGTGCTACTAAAGTATTATGTAAAGGAAATGTTGAATGAGCTCTGATCTGTTCTGGCTGTTCCACTTCCCCTGCAGCTTATGTGTCACATCAATTCATATTGCGACCTGCTAGAGCATTAAATTAAGTGGTATCGCGGTATGTTGCATCTTCGAAGTGTCAACCAACCAAATCAACAATAAATTGGTCCCAAACTATCAATCATTTAATGACGAATAGACAAATGTTTAGAATAAATTGATGGCTAATATTATTTCCAAAAAAACAATACTCTTCAAATAAGAATCTCATTCAATCTAACTGAAGTAGAACGAATGCGACTTCGGAAAAATACAGGAGGAGTTCCAGTCTCTCGTATTGATTCCATTTTCATTACACTGATTGGGATTCTTATTTGAATATATGTTCTATTAGTGCAGATGGGTCAGGCAGTGATTCTAATGTAGATATTTATATGCATTCTTCGTGTTATTAAGTAGCTGTGAGGTTCAAATAGATTCGAGTTTCCGATTCCTGTTTGGATAGGTTTCGAGTTTTTGGCTGCTATTTCGATGGGTTTCGAGTTATTTCGTGGGGTGTGAAAGAAATCGTAGTTTGCGAAACTGCATGTATCATTCGACTTTTCAAGAAACTATGATGCAAACTGTTGCCTAGAAAAGTGGTAAGTATCAGTTTCAGCATGATCGTGCGGACGGTTTAAATTTCTGCTTGCACATGGACTATGAGGTCATTTAGTGATGAATATTGAATGACAGAAAAGACTATTCAATTATTCAGTTACGAATAACCTTATGTTGTATATTGCTTGAAGATTCATTACAGGGCATTTTATGCTGATATTGTTGAGTTCCGTACACCTGGAAAAGTCTTAGATATTTTTTTAATACTTTAAAAAAAAAAACGTCTCTTATGTAGTAAAAACTTGATTCCGTCAGGGAACATATTTTGATCAATTAATCAAAGAAGGCACTTGATCATTTATTGCAATTGAGAATATTCTTTGTCTCCTTGTTATTCCCTCATTCTATTATAAGTAATTTTGTTTTTTTTTTTCTTTTTTGGAGCGCTGCCAGTGAATCACGATTATGCCAATGAATCACATTTATGATTGACATAAATTTTTTGATGAAAACTGCTATTTGAATTTTGAAAAGTGCATTGATGAATGAATGAGGTATAAGTCCTCTACATTGTCAATCATTCCTGTTTTTTTGCTGGAGCATATTGCTCAGGAGATACACTTGCGGTCGATTTTGTAATTGCTGTCCAACTATGAGACTGTCGAAGCTAGTACTAAGAAAAATTGTCAGGTGTTATCATCAAGTCTACAGTTTCACCGCATTACTAGTCAAAATGAGCGAACAGAAGCCCGCGCAGCAGAAAATCTCGCTAATATCATCTGATAATGAGACATTTGAAGTTGATCGAAACGTGATCAGATTATCAACTACAATTAATACGATGCTTCAAGGTGAGCTGACGATAAAATTCGTGAAAATTATGTGTCATTCGAATGCTAAAGCTTAGGAACAGTCTCCATTTTCTCAATATTACTGAGAAAATGGAGATTGTTTGTTATGATCTCTCTTATATATATATGTTTCAAGACATTCTTTACTTGCAGTTTCTGGCATATGTATTTTAATTACAGATTTGGGAATGGATAATCAAGATGGAGGGGATATTGATATGGTTGAGGGTATTCCGTTACAAAGCGTCAACTCAGCTATTCTCAAAAAGGTTGGAAAGAAAAAAACGTTCTCAAAATTGTTAACAAGTTGGTGTAGTTCATATTAAGAAAAGTACTTTATAGTTGAAGAAAGATCTGTTTGAAAAGGTATGAACACATATGTTCATAAAAGTTATTATACGTAAAATTTGCCACTTTGGTTTCAATTAGAAAAAATAAAATGCATTTAAATTCGTTTGAATGCTTTTTTATTACGGTGGTATCAATATCGCAGGTTATCCATTGGTGTGAGTACCATAAAGATGATCCGATCCCGCCAGAAGATAATGAAAACAAGGAGAAGCGCACTGACGATATTTCATCATGGGATGTGGAATTTCTTAAAGTTGATCAAGGCACATTGTTCGAGCTCATTCTGGCAAGTCCTTAGTTTCTTTTGTAAAGTTGGTTATTGATCATGTATTTCTGCATTTATTATAGACAAAAATTTATGAAGCTGCAAGTTAACTTGTTAGTTTTTAGCATCTAAATTTCATCTTTTTACAAAAAGAAAAACTGAAATTTTATTTACAAAAAAAATTGGTAAACATTTCATGTAGCATGTTTCGGTCTTCTTTAAAATATCTCTTGTATCAGCTGTTTCACTTTCAGTATAAGAATGAATGCTTTTGGATGACTGATTTATTGCATGTGCTTTCGAAATAACTACTTTATAAGTGCAAATTCACAAACTCGAAAGTTATTGGATGGAAAATAAGTTATGAGAGTAAACCGACTAGAACTTTGCTCTAATATGCGGTTTTTACTGCTTTATTATGCAGATGAGGAAAAAATAAATGTCTAAAAAAGAAAAGATAAATATAACATTATAGAAAATGTATAGAATTATTTCAGGCAGCAAATTATTTGGATATTAAGGGATTGCTGGATGTAACGTGCAAGACGGTAGCTAATATGATTAAGGGCAAGTCGCCGGAAGAGATTCGAAGGACTTTTAACATTAAAAATGATTTCACTCCAGAAGAAGAAGAACAGGTGCAGGATTTTAAGCGGTTTTCCAGAAATTTTGAAAGTTAATATTATTTTGTGCATGGTATTATCATGCCTTGTGTTTATAATTTTTTGGTCTAAAAAAGTGTGAGTTGATTTGCTGATAAGTTTAACTTAATTCTGAACGACTAGGATTATTTTATGTGTCATAAAGAATCCGTTTCTATTGCATAACTAAACTATTGGACTCAAACTTTGACCTTTAATCTGATTCTTCATGATTTGTTTATCTTTTTTATTCAGTTGGTGGTTACATGTTATAGCAAAATATTGAGATTTTAAAAAAGGAATTTTCTTGAAATTTTCAGAATATACCAAATAAATAAGATTATCCTTTGCAGATTCGAAAGGAAAATGCGTGGTGCGAAGACTGAACTGATATGATTCTACCTGTCTCCAAAATAATGCGCGATAGTGGAGCCCTAATGTTTATTTTATTGAATGTAAAAATACATTTCAGTCTTATTCTGTTTTAACCATTAACTGCAAAATGTAACAATCATATTTCACTCTAGTGTTTTGATTTATTTTCAAATCAATGCTTGTGCTTATATCATGCTCTTCATTTTCTAATTCCTCTCTTTTTCTTCTTAAGCAACAAAAAACTGATTTGAATATTGTATCACATGTGCTTATTTCTTTCATGTATTTAATGGAACTATCGCAAACTGAATTGACAGTGACGTGTATATTATGATTGTCTCAAGAAATATTTTTTCCCCAAATTATTGCACTGGAAGCGCAACTGTATAATTGTTGCATTTGGTAGAAAAAATTAGATTTTAATGAGATCATAAAATGGGGTTCAATTGTCACAAGCTATCGTTCAATTCGATTTAGATAAGATGGTTGGATTAATTTTATTTACATATATTTTTATAGAGTATCGGTAATAGGTAATTGACAGTGATTGCATTTTGGTGATTTACTGGTAGAATATGCATCATAGGCAGAGGTTATTTTACAGTTTCAAGTATTACTACATGGCGGTTTATAGGCTTCATGTGGTTCAATCCAGGCAAAACAGTTCTAGCATGCTTCAGGATAAGTAAGATGGAAGTAAGAATAACAATTGATCTATGGAAATAAAGAATTATCGACATATATGTTGGTGTATTGGACATATTTGCACTACAAGTATTTTTAATTATAGAGGAGATTGGATAGTAAATAGTTTTCAGAAACGGCTATATTCCCCTACGATATCAACAAAGGTGATTGTGACATCAAAAGGTGATTTTCGATATTGTGATAGAAAGATGTGCGGATTATTTTCTTTATAAGATTTTTTTTTTGTTGGAAATCACTACAAGATTGATCTGATTGGGTAATGCTATTGCAAATTATTAATTGCCTTCGAAATTCTTTATTGGATAATGTTTACCGTAGTTGTTCAGATGCTCTGCAAGTTCGTCACGTTGCTCTTGCAAATTTTTCGGCATTTCCTGCAGGTTATCAAAAAATTTTTTGAATGTATAAAATAAAATCAAGTGAATTACCCGGAAGAGGCAAATTTTTGAAATGTATGAAAAATGCAAGGACTGAGGGAGGCCTACCTTTTATCATTTAGATATCAATGTCAAACGAGGCCTATCTTTTACCACTTAACTATCTAAGTGATTCATTCATTCGAACTCCTAGGCACCTCGCATCAAATAATCGAAATCGATTTGCTGTATTATTTTTTTAATCACATTTAAATTAACAATTTGTAATTGTCAATTTGAAAATACATTAATTTTATAAAAATACGAGAATATATTAATTTATTGAAAAGTAACTTGAAAAATTCTATGAAAAAATAAAAATACAAATTCATTCTCACCTTGTAAACATCATCAAACATTCTTAAAATATTCGGTTTGGGCGTTCTTTCGGCATACAAGAATGCACTCATCACTTCTTTCTCCATCTATAAATACATATCGTTTCAAAGTGGAAATGTTTTATAACGATGAAAAAAAAAACGCCTTTTGTTGCTCACTTTTTTCCGATATGTTATATCTTCTTCATCGTTCCACCATCCCTTATTTTGAAGAACTATTCGAAATCGAGCGATTGGATTATCCTTCTCATGCCATATATTAACTTCCTCATTGGGACTGTAAACATTAATTTTTTAATTACCCATTCAAATGGTAAATAATTATGAACTGATTCATTTGAATAGCTAACAAAATCTGTTTCAAGTCTGAAAAAAATGAGAATTTAAAATTAAATTACCGATAAGCAGTTGAATCATCGGATGTTGAATGATGACTTATACGATAAGTCATAGCTTCAATAAGAACAGGCTCATTTTGCTCTGCTATTTTTCTGGCTGCTTTAGTCGCATTATATATAGCAATCAAATCGTTACCATCAACCCTTTCATAATTAATGAATTTTAAATCAAAAGAATAATAAAGCGTAATACGCTTAACTTTCATTTTTTTTTAAAAGCAAGAAAATACCGTATCGCATGAATACCATATCCGTTAGCTCTACCACTAATACCATCACCGCCATACTGTTCCGTTGCTGGTGTACTAATTGCATAACCGTTATTACGACAGAAAAATATTACTGGACATTTCTAAAATTGTTAAAAATTCATGAATTAATTAGAATTATTTTAAAAAGTAAAATCAATTGAATGAATCAAATTTTACCTATCACTAACGAAAATTTATTCAAATATATGCTTTTTATTTCAAATTTATTCGTTTCATTCAAGCTGAATTTTCAATTATAGTTAGTAGATAAACTTAAATTGAATAATATTTGATTTAATTCATCAGTTCTTCGAATTAATACGAACCATTGTGGATGCCATATTCATGGCTGCGTGTGCATCACCTTCTGATGCTGCACCTTCACCAAAATATACTATCACTATTCGCCCATTTTTCTCTCTAAAAATACGAGAATACTGCATTTTAATAATGAAAATGTAATTAACGAACTTCCAAAAATTTCAATAGTGCTTAGCCGTTACACTAAAAGTTCAAATAATATTGATGCAATTTGATGTCCGAATTTAAGTTTATCTACTGATTAGAATTGAAAATTCAGCTTGAATGAAACAAATGAATTTGAAAAAAGTGCAAAGTGTCTTATCATTCTATCAGTAAGTACAATTTACGTCAGCTTATCAGTAAGTACAATCGTAAAACAGAACAATCAGTAGTCATCAATATTCATTCTATGCAAATCTTATTATTTAAAATTACTGTGTATTTGCTACAATTTAAATTAATCAAATTCTTTAAATGTAAATTAATATATTGAACCTTTTAAATGCATAAGCAGAACCAACAGCTTGCGGTAATTGTGTAGCCAATGGTGATGATATTGTCACATAATGATGTTCCGCTGAGCCGTAATGTACCGGCATTTGTTTTCCACCACCTAAAACAAAATTTTATGCATTTTAAAATTTCTCGAATGCATGAAGCAAAGTATAACTGAAATTGGCTAATAAAACATAGAAAAAGCTAGCTAAAGACGAATATTTCACCGCAAATGCGTTTCTTAGGAATTATATATCATTCGTTATCTTAAAAAAATACATTTTTAGTCGAAAATTTACCACTTAAATTAATCTCAAAGCAAAGCCTAATTGATTTATTAAATTTCTATTGCAATTAAAAGTAAAAGAATATTGCTGCATTATTATTTTATTTGGCCTTATAATACCGATAAACACGTTAATATGCTAATTTTTTTCAGCTGTTAAATACAAAATTTACCGATATCTTTAGCATTTCCATAACATTGATGCATGAAATTTTCCAAAGGAAAGCCTCGATATAGCAACGAACCAGCTTCCCGATATTGGCCATACATCAGGTCATCATCACGCAGAGCTGCTGCTGAACCCACCTGAGTAGCCTAAAAATAAAATTTGAAAAAATCAAATCATTTCAAGTTAAGACAAAAATTTTCTTCAATTTCTTCTCGCATTTTTTTAAATTACCCAATTGAAAGTCGATTATCCACAAGAAAAGATTGATAGGAAAATTTTCAAAATTTTGAATTTTTCAGTGAAATCATATTTTGAATGGAATGTTTTAACAATTATCCATTATTTCGGCAGTAAAATTATATAAAATTATCTCGTCGACTATTTTTATAAATGAAATGAATTCAAAAATTAATAAATGAAGGAACTGAAAGCTTTTAATTATCACTTATTAATTAATCGTAATAAGAGATAAAAGATAATAAACCTCTTCACCGGTATTTGTCAAATAAAACGAAATGCGTCCTTGACGTTGTGAATCGTATAAGATTTTATCCATTTGTTGAAGTGTTAGCATAGTTTGATACATTTTTACTGCCAATTCCTTTAAAAACGATGAAGAACCAATTATCAGCTGATAAAACTACATGATTATGACTAATAATGCAGCAATTAACTGTAGCTAACAACAATTAGGCATTAATTTCCTTGCTTATACCATAAATTTATTAATCGTTCATTTGAGAATCGTTTTATCAATGGTTGAAAGAGAAATTTTATTAGGCTTTTTGACTTTATTTCATTGCGAAATAAAATGAAAATATCGAAACATTCTAAAGCAGATAAATAATTTAAAATCTACTTTTTTATACCTATATTTAGTTTTAGTGGCTGAACTAAAATTTTACTTTTGTCATATCAAAATCATAATTCGGATCAATAAATTGTCCTTCGGAATTTGTTACTCGGTATATTGGAATTGTCGGTTGTTGAGTGGGAGAGAGAATTTCCAATTTTTCAGTAAATTCAGCCTAAAAAGAAGTAAACGTAATTTTCGAATTTCAATTTTTTGGTTTGATAAGTAAGCACTATATTACTGAATAATATACGAATTAAACTGAAAATGATTTCATTTCACAAACTTTTAATAAGACAAATGCGTCACTACTAACATAACAGATATAATAAGTAATTAAAATACATCTTATTTTACATGAAATTCATAGAACAAACCTTCCGATGACTTAAATATTTATCAGTAAATTCATTAATTCGGAAATCTGATCCGGTGCTGCAATGGCGAAAGATAGTCGATGGAAGGTTTTCACGTAATGCCACAAAAGATGTTACTTGCGAACAAGTTGAAATAAAATATCGGCGAAACATCTCCAATATGTAATATACGACTTTGTAAAAGTGTTCCGCAGATTATTAAACTCCGATTTAAATAAGGAAATTCTGGAAAAGTGGAAAAAATTTTTGAATTTCTGTGATAATAAAAAAAGGCAAACACAGCCTGCAAATCAATTAGAGACAGTTTAGTTTAAAAAGACAAAATTTTGAGAAAAAATTTTCGTTTAAAAGTTAGAAAAAATAAATTTAAGTGATTAAAACGTTGTAATTGAAAGAAGTGAAATAAATTCAACATTGGTTGTGTACTTAAAACATCCCAATAATTTCAAATAATTTTTAATGAAGTATTAATGACAAAATGAAACTTTCATTAATTAATCTAAGAGGAGTGAAGTCGAAAGCAAGCAATATATGCCATCAAGTTGAATTTAATCACTAATATATTTTTGTGATTAATTGCATAATAAAACTAGTAATTTCTAAATTACTTTCTAGAGTTAAACAAGTTAAATTACATGGCAAAATTAAATAGCATGCAAGAAATGCGAGAATAATGTGGGCAGCACATTTTTTTTTTCAAAATTTTAAAGATCATGACAAAAAATTTGTTTTAATCTTAAAAAAAAATTTAAAAAGCCAATTTTTTTTCGAAGTTTTTAAAAAAAAAGATTCTTGAATTTTAAAAGCTAATGAGTGATTTCTCATTTGAATCAGTTTAACTTAATTCATCAAATCGTCTAAATAGATGTTAAATTTTTTCACAAAACTTATTAAAATGAATTACCAGCTAGAAAGAGCAATTTTAAGAAAATACTGTTTGTAAAAAATTAGCAAAGGGAGAAAAGAGAATAAGAGTGAGAGTGAGGGAGAGAGAGAAAGAAAGAGTTATGAACATTAAGCAATTTTGCACACGTTGCAAATGGATCGCTTTTTTGTACTTTTTTTTGTTTTTTTGTTTTTGTTAAAAACATGTTTGATTTTGTAAACGTAATTATAAGGAAGTGAAGTTATGGAGAAATTCTCGTCCTCTCCCTCTCTCTCTCTCTTTCATTTGTCATTTCCTGTAATTTAAATTCCATTAAGGAAATATTAAATGAATAGAATTAATGCATTTCAAAAGTACTGATTAGTGGATCGAAAATTTCAAATTAAGATTTTTATGACAGAAAAGAGAGAGAGAAAATTTGGTCAAATAAGATTGTGTCACTGATAAGATAATACCAAATTAATGGAGAAGGAATAATGTTTGAAAAATGTTTGTCGTGTCGTATTTTCAATAAAGCGAAATAGAGAGCGATAAAAGAAGGAAGATGAAGAAATTCGAGAATAACAATTTAACATTAATAATTAAAATTTGATTTCCCAACGGAATTAGCAATGGATAATTTGATGGAATTTTTTAGCAGCATTAAATAAGGAAAGATTTAATAGAATGAACTTTCTTTTATTTTTTCTTTCTTTCCATTTCCATTTTCTATTATCTAACATATCTTCGTTCCAGTAAAATCAACTGAGATTTAGCTGATTAGATTTTAAAAGAGTGAAATAAAAGAATTTTAATCAAAATCGTAATTATAATACAAAATGAAATAGATCAAAATTAGTTTAGTAGGATAAAGAAACATATGGATAGTTTTAATTGGCAAACTATGCCTGAATTTCGATCAATATTACAAAGTTTAATAAAAGCTAAATAGAATTAGAATTCCAATGTTCTTTTTTTTGTATCATTTATTTTTATCTTTCTATGATTAATTAATGAATAAAATGAATAAACAGATCAATATTGAAATATTATTAAAAATATTTCAATATTGACATACAGTTTGAGAGTAGCTAAAAGATGGTAAATGTCGATATTACTCTTCATAATCACTTTTATTTATTTTTCACCAAAAACTGGATTTCCAATTGTGTGTGTGCGTGTGTGTTTATCTTGCATAGAAAAAAAGTAAGACTTGGCTTTATATTTACAAAGGTAAATAAAATTTGATCACTTTCAACAACAATCTTCAAAATATTTACATCCAACTTTTGTTACACCCTCTCTTTCCCTTTCTATTTCTCTCTTTTCTTCCCCTGCCTCCCACCCTCCAAAAAAAGAATGCAATCACTGTAAAATTTGAATATCGAAATTCTATGTGTAATAATTAAATATCCTTAATGGATAAAATGTTTTTTATTTAGCAACATTTAATTGTATTTAACGATTTTATTTAATACCATTTAATAAATGGATCGTACTTAATAACAATTAAATTGCATTATTTAGGAGCACTTATCATTTCTTACTCGAATATACGATATCGCTATATTGAATTATCTAACCATCATAAATTCTACAATAATAAATTAAGAGTTAGAAAAAAGGTTCCCAATTTCCATTTACCAGTTGTGGAATAGCAAAAAAAAAAACGAATACTTTAAAAACAAAAACATTGGGAATGAAAACATTATATGAAATACTCATTTATTTCAATTTCTATCGCAATTTCCTGGATTTTCATTTATCAATTAACTACAGCCTAATCAATTTAAATTTGATCACTGTTCAATAATTGGTGGTAATAAATACATTTAGCAGAAAATAATTATAATAAAAGATAACAATGATTACTGTTGATAAGAGGTAAGAAGTAATTCGATGGCGTGATTAATAAGGGATCATAATTCAGTATAATGTAAGCAACAAACATTTTGTATCTTTAATCCGAAATATCCGGTAAGCTGTAAGTTATACATTCAACTGAAGTGGTGAATGATAGTAGATGATGTAATGATGATAATGAACGATAGCGGATGAAATGTAATGGTAATAATAATAATGGATGATGACGGCATAGTAATTATGTAAATTATACATTCAACTGAAGTGGTAAATGATAGTGGATAATGTAATAATGACGATAAATGATGTCAACAATCATGATGATCGCAATATGATCAGGTGCTCATAATGATAACGATGATAATCGTGCTTGTGATAATGATAATGGGTAAATAAGAGGTAAGAACACGAGGTAGCATGAATAATGTTAGGGAAGCTTTAACAGCAAGAATAAACAAAATATAATAACTTTCCTCGAATTCCTCCTCCTCCTTTTCATTTCTTTTCTAAGCCATATTTACTCTTTCATTCATCGTTATACTACATAAGTTTTCTACCACATATTTTCTGCTACTACCAAATTGTCTCCCTCTTTCTCTCTCTCTCTCTCTCTCTCTCTCATTTTACAGTGAAGATTCAATGTAAAATGATTGACTTACTTCGAATGTATAAATATGTCATTACAGACCAAAGGATTCTCTTCTCATTTTCTGCTTGTCTCTTTCTTTTGTCTTCTTTTATAATTACAATAAGGCTGATGAAATGATGATGAAAGTGACGGTTTTATAATTTTGTAGTCGCAAATAATAATAATATTAACAGCGATCACTATAATCGTGATAATAAATAATAACAGTAGCGATTAATGGTGATATCTTCCTACAGTGGAATTAATTAGAAAAATCAGTTAATTACTATTATTTGAAATTGTTAAATATCTGAATCCATAGAATCAGTATTTTCAACAGATGCAAAAAATGGGGTGAAATATTTTGAAGGAGCTCGAAGTTTTTCTTTGGAAAAAAAATTGAATAGGAAGCATAGGGCATTACAGCAATTAAAATTACTACTAAATGATAATGATGATGACTATAATGGTAATGACAAATATAATGATATAATTGTGATAATCAAAATAATTTTTTTTCTGATTATCGCAATTATTTTGATCGTCACTTAATGTGACAATCAAAATAATTTTTTCCCTGATGACAATGAAAATGATAATCACTGTGATGGTGAATGACAGTGAGAATTATCATTTTCATTGCCATTCACCATCAAATAATTATGTTTGAAGCGAGAATCATTCGGATGCATCAATCTTTTCCAAAATAAACTTTGAAAATTGAATGGAAACTGAAAAGGGCAGAAGAATGAATGATTCAACTTACCACTTATTACAGAGGAAATAGAAAATTCTATCACACTAAATAACACCAATTATTTCCCGCCGAACGATGAAAAAATAATTGATGGAATGGAGAAGAAAGTTACTTGACACAATCAAGAAGTACTCATACAAGAATTATTCATGAACATGATTGTTTAAAAAAATAAAAGAAATTTGCATTTGCAGTTAATGTTGAAATCTATTATATGCAATTACATAAAAAAGAAACTATGTATATTTGAATTTTTGTTAAAAATGTTATCAGTGAATGTGTAGCGGTGATATCATATAAAATGAAATATAATATTTGGTTTCGGAAACTTTTATAATTTTGAAATTGCAACGAATAAACATTTTAGAATCAACGGAATAAATAAGCATATTCAATATATTCACATAAATTATTCACATCTAATAAATGTCAACAACAGAAGCTAAGTGAACTGGCGATGTTCAGCCTATTCCACATTTCAATACATTACATACTCTCACATATGGGCGATCAGCAAAATATTGATCATTATTAATTCTCATACAAATTCATCATGAAGCATCCAACGAACTTAAATACGAAACATTAAGTATGAAGCACGAATATGCAACAAAATCTAGTCAAAAATGAACTGTTATAACAAACCACCATAGTATAACAAAGTATGATAACTCATGACAGCTATAACATGTTACCACATGAAATGAATAATCATGCTAAAGCAACAGACATGAGTTGAAACCTTGAAAAATGCATTCGAAACAACAAAGATTTTTGAAACTAAACATGTCATAAATTTCAAACATAGTTATAATAATCTTACAAACTACAATAATATGTGCTGTAAGGAAAAACATTAAATTATGATAATACCATCTATATAAGACGTGATAAAAAACTTCAAAAAAGAAAAAATCAAGCTGAAAAATACTAAAAACTAGCAGCATAATCACTGCAAAGGAATTAATTACAGTAATTACCACGAATTATCATAACCTAATGTTGCCTTCATCAAATAACAGTCACAAAAAGAGAAGAGAGAAACTGCATGTTGCTGATCATTGGCGTTTTTTCATTGCTTCATTAATACCGCTTACCAATTCTTGACAATTATCTATAAGAACCTTTTGCGGTGGGCCGAAATTAAACCCAAAATGATCAATTATGGCAAAGAATACTTCGATAATAATAAGATAAATAATCATCCACTCCAATCGTGCTTCCTGAAATTTTATAATCCATATAATTATACTTCGCAAAGTCAAGGATTTTAGTGGGTTAAGATTTAATATTTTTTCAGAAAGTCAATTGTTTTAAAATTCGAATTAATTCAGCTACATATCAGAAGCAGCTTAAAAATGGAAAGAATTGTGCTTTTAAGAAACATGCAGAATCATTAAGAAATGAGAAAGTTTAGAATATGATAAAGAATTGATTAAGGAAAGCAGATGTTTGATAGAAAACCTTCCTTAACTACAAATTTTTTGGAACTATCAATTGAATGACTACGAAAAATTTATTAAATCGGCTAAATTAATATTGCACTAAACAACCCCAACCCATTTGATTATTATTACTATTATAAATTATTTGATCCCGAATATCTCAATTTATGTTTGCCGCAAATACAAAAAACAGAGAAGTGAGATGCACCGTAACGCTCAGCATTATTTATCGTTATTATTATAATGAAGACTACATTTGATTTGTTAAGTAAATTCAGGAAAAAAAAAATTAAAAACATACGCAATTATGAGTTTGCATACCGTTCACTACCTTCAATATTTCACTGCAATAATCTAACTGTGCGTTTAACATCCTGAAAAAGTAGGCATTTTATCCCAATTTATAAAAAGCCAAATCCAAAACAGTGTCTTAAGACTTCGAAATGAGCACAAAAAAAACCCTATCAAGAACAAAATTTATTTGTTTCATGTACCTTCGTCGACTGGCAACGGCGAAATGTTTCAGAGCCATCCTGTAATATGGTTCCAAGTCCTGCTTTTCCCAATAAAAATCGGAATCGATCAAGTTCGTATTTAAATTAATTGAATGTCTATAAGCAACAAAAAATCAGACACTTCGTAAAAATGTTCGTAAGGTGTAATAAGTTAAATCAGTTGAACTATTTAACAATTTAAATATTGAAAATCAACTGAAAAGAGGAATTATAATTGAAAAGGAGTAGTGCATGAACAACTCTGTTCACAAAGTAAGAGTATGAATAAGTAAAAATTATATTTTATCCACAGTAACTGTGGACAAAAAAATGCGAAAAATATATAGGAAAAAAAAAGAAATAACAAAAAAAATGAAAAAGGCAAGAACAATTCTTTTTTTGAAATCTGTAGATAAAGAATGACGTGAAATAAAATATGATAGAGTATAATAAAGTTTATTTAACATTAAAAAAACTGTAACCGTTTAAATCAATCATAATTTAGCGTAAAATAGCGTAAATTGAAAATAAAATAAATGGTTCAAATTATCATACGTATATCACACGTATAAACTGTGATTGCAGTTCAATGTTTTATTTTTTATTAATTACGATAGCTGAATAAAGAGTAAGTATAAAAACACATATGAAAGAGTGAGATGAAGATTGATAGTAAGAATAAAACAATATATATTACAATAATACAGGTATTAGCAGAAATAGAATAATATATGAGAAAAGATTTCAAATGATAGAAGAAATGATTTGCTCACCTAAGTGATAGTAAAGTACCAGTTTGCATCAGTACATTTTTCCGCTTCAAAGGAATCTTACCAACACTGAGTCCTTTTGAAGCTTTTGCAAGCGGTTCAGCGTATTCCAACAACTGAGCTTCCCATATTGCTACTTTCACTAAAACCTACATTTAAACTTCGTTTAGAAAAGTTATTTCTAATAACCGAAAAAAAAAGATCAATCTTTAATCATCGAAACTGAAAGATTTGTACATAAAAAATAAAAAAAAATCTGTTTTCTTTCAAAAAATTGGCCCATAAAATTTGGTAATGTCAGTATCATTTAAACATTGCAATATTCTTCAATTCTAAGATTATTATACTAAGCAAAATAATAACTATGCTCTATATTGTAGGACATATTTTTTCTATTCATGTTATGCATGTACGTATTCTCATTATCTTATGTAATATCTCTTCTTCAATACTATGATCAAAGAAGGAACTCATAAATATCAGTTTACCTGATGCAGCCATTCCATGAGAAAAAGCAAATCGCTCCAAAGTTGCCAACGACGAAAGATGTCCGTCCAAATAATTGGTAAAATTAAGTAGCAATTGTTCACCTTTCATACGTGTTTCACCTCTTAAAAGAAATCAATATTTCTATGAATTGATTATATTAATTTAATAAAAAAAAAGACGATGAATAGAAATCCACATATACAAGATATGTAATACGAACTCAAGCATAAGTAATGTATTGTAATAACTAAATACTGATGAGTTATGTTATGCACGAATGCACGACAGTTAAAGATGGGATAGTATAATTTAATATTTTGTCTCAAAAACTATACAAATTTGTAAATTTACTTACTCTTTCACCATACGAAATGATAAGGTATCAGTTTCTTCTAGAACAACTGATGCTTCAAATGGTAATTCAGCATATTGAGACAAAATATCCATTATCTGGCTACGCTTCAATTCAAAAAATAAGCTTTAGAATTTAAACAACATTTCATGAATTAAAAACATTGTAATTGATAGCGTCACATAATATTATCCTGACTACATAAAAAGAAGTCTCCCTATTCTTTAAATCGCATAACTAATGAGACAAGTTGATGACCACTGTTTCTCACCAAGCACTCACGTAGGATAGACAACATTGAAAGCAAATTTTTTTTTTAAACTGTTATTAGTTACGATGACTTCTTCATTAATAGAAAGTGATTACTTCACAATGGTAATAAAAATCATGAAAGAAAAAACAAACAGTTACCTCAATATAATTAATGCCCCAAAAAATAACAACACCATCGGCAAATAGAAAGAATTCTTTGATTGCGTTCTGATCAATAATATATTGTGGTTTTGGTACGAAATGTAAACCATCATCAATTTCTGGAAAAAAAAAAATTTTGAAATTACATGAATAAATCAATGAATTCCACACATATGCTGAAAACATTACCAGAAACATATATGTCTCAGACTTTAACTTGATATCTAAGAAGCTAAATAGATACTTCAAAAAGTATAATCGTTTAAATTTTAATACGTAACATAATACTCATAACGATTTTTTAATGATAGCTAATGTTTGCAGTGATTTTCTAGCAGCAAATTAGTGTTCAATTAATATAACTAGTACGAAGCAAATTTAAAGAACTGCAGTTAATTCATCAAGAATTAATTAGTTTGTCAAGGAGTTCACCTCCAAGAGAAGAAAATGAGATCAACACGAAAATTGAAAATATAATTAATTTAATTGTTAGCAAGAGGAAGGAATTGTTAAAATATGACACTCGGTGCAGTAAAAGTAAGACACAATGGTTTGGTTATTACGGTAAAATTGATAAAAAATTATGCTAATTAATTCCAATTATTTCTATGATGTCACTGAATATGAAATTAAATGTACCTTCATCGATATGCGTACAATTATACAAGCTGAACAAATGCTCATCATCGAGTAAATCAAGTAATCTGAAGGATTCCGCCATTGCTACACCAATGATTTCCGGTCCTCTTGGATACTGACACATGACAATAAGATATCCAAATACTATTTAAACAACTTTAAGTTACAAAGTTCCTATGTTTGACGGTTTCAGTACAAAGAAATAATTCGTAAAAATCTACAAACTATTAGCGGCTTTATTCGCTGTGATTAAGTGGATAAAAATTCTAGCTCTACAATTATCAAAAAGCTTTTAATCAATAGATTTTGGTATTTCTTATTTTTCAAATAAAGAAAAATTTTACACAATCTTAGCTTATCTCTAAAAATTAACTGGCAAAATTAATGACATATACAAACCGTCGAACATAAACTGAAGTTTCTAATCAATACAACTTACTATTTCCTGTTTTTCAAATGGAGAAAAATTTTACACAATCTTCGCTTATCTCTAAAAATTAACTGGCAAAATTAATGATATACACAAACCGTCGAATCATAAACTGAAGTTAATGGTCGACGTCTTCGGACCGGTTTTCGTACCACAGTTGTTGAATCAACATTTGGCGGCAACGGGTTAGTTGCATCCGCAAAACATTTAGTCGTCCACTGCACAGGTACTACTCTAAACGGATCAATTTTCTTTCTTGAAATTTCTCAAAACTACGTAGTTTTTTCAAGTTTGAAAATTAAATTTCCATACAATTAAACGTTACAACGACAAAATTTTATCTCTTAAGAACATAACGAAAGACAAAACCTGGTCATTAATAGTTTTGGTTGAATAGCCTTCGTCCACAATTGTTTCTTGTTTATCGTATATAAGTGTGCATACAGTGCCTTCTGTCCAAAAGATCCAAATAAACAGCGTAATGGCTCCCAAAGTTTCAACATAACTAAAGATGATAATGGCAATGGTCAGAAGTTAAGTCTTTTTCTTAGCGGAAATTGAAATTTATGTAGTTTATCGAAAAACATTCTTTAATTCTATGAAGAAAAAATGATTTAATACTAAACAACATACGCAACAAACTCATATTAGACTTTTCCTGGACAAATTCAGGCAAAAATTCCATACCAAATGCTTAAATGAAAGAGTCGAAAAATTCAAACAACTACTGCCACCTCTGCAGACGTTTTATCATCATTACACCATAAAGCGTAACTTCAAAGTCAATATCTTCCTTATCACTGCTGGAATGAATCTTTCATCATAAAATATGAAGTAAACTCAATCAGCACCATACCTATTACTAGTCTTTTACTAAAAGCAAAAAATGAGAAGATTCAAGGGCAGATTTTATTTTCAAATAAAAAAAATTGGAAAAAACCCATTTTATTCCATTTTTATTTGGCATTCTTTCAGCAGCGGCAAACAATTCTCACTGTTTTTATGCTTTATTTTTTTATCAAACGACCATAAAATGTGTTAAAAATTAACCTTTAGTATTCTTCAATAAAATAAAATCGAAAAAATTTACTTCTGAATAATCAACTGACATTGTGAAGAGACATCGCGCACACATCATTTATAATTCAGTCATAGAAAACTCTTCCTAATAATGTCGTCTCCTTCACGTAAAATTTCGAAGAATAGAAAACAAAAACAATAACAACAATGACAACATGCGGGTAACATGAAAAAACATCAGCCAAATTCCAACAAGATCAACAACAAAAATGACTGAAAAATATTTTCCTTAATAATGCACGATTAATATATTCCTGAAATGAAAGTGCAAATTCACACCGCTTCTGTAATATCGCTTCCTACAATTCCAGTGTTATAGTAACAAAAGCAATAAGCGATGAAGATAACAGCTCAAATATGATTTCTTGTATACCAGCTTCTAATATTTCACCGAATTATGAAACACTTTAGAAAAGAAAACCATAAATTCTCTATGTATTATATATACATATGCACACACACACACATATATATAAACATGTATACACATTAACATCTCAAATTAAAATATCAAAACTATAAATAAAATAAAACTAATGCATCTAATTTTCATAATTTCATATCCTCCTCTTTCATTTTCTCTACAAAAAAAAAATGCCAAATGATACAGTTAAACTTCTCAAAATGCAAGCAAACGAAAACAAAACTAAAAATTATTTCTCCTCCACAATCACAATCGCTTTTTCACGCTGTCTTCTTTCAAATCCACTATACGATTAAATACAAGCTGGAAGAGATATTAAAATTCTACGAATGCAATAAACATCTTTCAAAAAAATACTCGAATGATGCGACGAGACCCAACCAAAACATTTTAAAATTAATAATTGAAGGAATTTTTTATCTCCATAAAACTGCTTCTCCGAATAACAAGTTCTTATCTTTCCCGCAGACTTTGGCTATTTATTTAAATTATTTGTAATCTAGTATAACTCTGATAATTATATAGCAGCATCCAATACTAATTTCATAAATTAATCATGCAAAACAACTATCAAATTTTTAATCTTAAAACACATAAAAACCATAACTAGAACCAAGGGAAACAAAGCTTTCATCTTTAGGCATCTATATGTAACATAATCCAATAAATAACAGTCACTCTTACCTTGTCAGGCGTACTGTCTGGATCCACGGAAAAAAATCCAATTCTTTCAAACTGATAGCGATCATAGACCTTTGAGTTTGAAATTGATTTATCGATATAAACTGGTTCCAAAATGCGCAGCGAATTCTAAATAACACTAGTAAAGTTTCAAGAAACATGATTTCACCACTTCATGATGAGTTTGAGATAGGTAACAGTACATCTGACAAATTTTGCCATACTTATTAAACAATGTTAACTTGCTGATTTCACATTTGGGGCAAGTCTTTCTATGGAAAATAATAAACCATATTTTAATGACTAAATTAACTTCACGATATGTTGAAACGTAAAATAAAACAAAATGTTCCTTTCTATTTTTTCATGAAAATAATATTGACTTTGGATGAAAACCAAATTAAATACTGAAAAGCTGATAAATCAGAATTATTCAAAACAACAAAGTATCTTAAAAATAAGAATTTTTTTTAAGAACTTAAAAATAAGATTTGAAAATATTTAAGGGTACCTTATTGCAATCTGATATAAAGCCGTCGGGAACCTCATTTGCATCTTCCGGGTTTTTATGTCGAAATCTGAAACAAAATAATGAGAAAAAATGATAGTACGAAACTGAGTGAATTTTTTAAATTCCAGTAAACTATTTCATTAATTTCTATGTAAAAATGTTGTGAAACACAGCCAAAAATTCACCTTATAAAAGTTATTCTATATTCCAAATATTACAAAAATATGAAATACATGGAAAACTTACAGTCGTTCGTATATTCGAACTTGGCAATGAACTGGATTCGCCACCCAATGCAAATATATTTTCGGTCTGTTCTCGTGAGTAAGTTTTGACGCTTTTACCGTCAACTCTGTTACCTCTCCGTTCTCATTCTGAAACGAGTATTAAATTATAGCTTTGTGAAATTATAGAACATAGCAGAAAATCATTTGTTGCATAAAGTGAATGACAACATGTCACTGACGAGAATATAATAGTCTGGTGCAAGACTTCATTTTGTACCATAATGATATACTGTGATACATAACAGTTTCACGTGCATCTACAGTCAGCAGTAGAGCAGGAAAATGTTATAGCATAATCCAACTGGAAGATTTTAAGTGCTTTTCGATGGGAGCTCTTTGGATTACAATTAGAGAAATTTCATATGAGATATACCCTTAATTCATTTGTAAGAGATATAACGACTCCGAGATATTTCAAACCAACTAATTTATTTTTCATTAATCGATAAAAATTGTCACTCGTCTTTTCAGCCTGCAAGCAGCAATTTTTAGTTCTCTTGCAATTTACAAAAAAAATATTTGATATCAAAATGAGAAACTTATTTAAATATTTAGAAATGGTCCTCTAACTATAAAAACATTTGACTTCACGATAATCTGATCTCTCGATGAAAACAACATGATTCATGGCAATTATATGTTGCTGTTCACTGTGGTCTGGATCATGTGGAAAATCTGGCACTGATAAACTGCACGGTAACGATAATTCATCATAATTTTCAATTGTTACTTTCAATGGATCCAATACAGCCATCGTCCTGTGTAATTAAAACAGTAATAACAAAACGAACAATAATTCATCATATTTTGAGAAATCGGAAAAAAATCAAGACTTTCCAGTTGAAGAGGGTCTTTTTGTTTCTTTAAATCTGCACTGAAGAACGAATGTGAGCAAAAGTCATGTGCAATTTCATCAATAATTTTGTAAAATAAAAAGAACTGATGAAACTATTGGAATATTTCAGAATAATAATTTCAAATCTAAAATAGATGGAAAACTATTGTACCTGGGTGCATTTTTGTTTAAATAATCACGCGTGGTAGCATCTAACACTTGCGGATCAATGAAAGTTTGTGCTGTGGTAAGGCCCAATTTTACGACAAAATTATTGATTGCTTCTGGAGGAATACCTCGTCGCCGAAGTGCTGTCAATGTAAATAATCTTGGATCGTCCCAATCACTACAAAATCAAAGAAATGTTTGTTGATAACAAATGCTACAGTTAATTACACTATACCATCATAAAAACATAGATGAAACGCAGTTCCTACTTTTTATTTATAGAAAAGTAAAGTAAGGTATCGTTATGTGCAATTTGTCAACATACTTTACAATTTTATTTTCGATCAATGCTTTGATTTTCCGCTTGGAGACAACAGCGTAATTCATATTTAAACGACCATATTCCCACTGCACTGGACAATAAATATCTAAGCTGTTGCAAAGCCAATAATAACTGCTACGTCTGTAAACTATTCAGTATTCAATATCATATGGGCACTATTAAACTAGTCGGAAATTAGCGAAAGAAAACGAAAGCTTCAAATATAAAAGAAAATACAAAAGAAATTAGCACAATAATCTTAAGTGATGGAAATAAAAATATTATGCATAATCAGAAATTATAAAAGGAAATTATTCCAAATATTTTTGCTACTTTTTGAAGTCGTATTTGCTCATCTACCGTTTAACAAACAGTGTTATAATTTATAAGTTTCATGCCGCACTTTCGCATATCCTATTTTACATTCATAAATACCGCAAAGCTTGCTTTTCTCCATTCATCTCCAGGATGAAGATTAAACGCAAAAGTGAATTGACTGAATTAACAACTCAGAGGAAAATGAATGAGATCTGCATGACTTACCTTGACTGAAATTCTTTAGTACATAAAGAATGAGTTATATTTTCTAACGAATCGCATAAACAATGGGTATAGTCGTACGTCGGATAAACACACCTGAATAACAATGCATATTTAGCGTTCATGATTCCATAATAAAGTAGCAATAGCTTAATAAAAATTAACAGATTTAAGTTTACAAAAAACATCACAAGAAATAAGTCAAACCATTTATTTCCAGTGCGGTGATGAGGACAGTATTTAATTCTATAAGCTATCGGATCCACTTTGCCTTCCTCCAGAATAGTTTTCAGTCGTAATGTTGCTTCTCCTTCATTAAATTTACCATGCCGCATATCCTACAATTTCATTTACAGCTTTTGGCAAACTGACAATTAAATTCATCACCCAATGTCTAATTGGTTGGTTGGTTTAAGATGATGAACAAGCATTCTAAGACTTCTTCCAGAGAATGATGCTTAAGTGTCTGGTAAGAGCATAAAAAAGAAATAACTGTCTAATTAGCTCATTTTTTCTACTTTAATAATAAGCTCACACATCACAAAGAAACCACCTCATACGTCACCACATCTTGGAATTTAATGACTTTATGTTAAGTGAATCCTGATTCTTAATATATATCAACTCATACGAATAAAATAAAGTTACCTCAAAA